AATCATGTGTGGGGTTTGGTTCAAAAAGTACAAAGATTATGGGTACATGTATGTCTCAACTACAGAAGATGAAAGGCACAGCTACAAAGCTTTATTAGATCTCTGCATGGAGGAGATTTATCCCCTACCTCAGGCTAAGATTTATCCAGAATAGAAACACAGTTTAAGCTTAGAATAAGAGGCCTCAAAAGTAAAAATGACTTCCAAGTGCTATAAATAGATGCAATTTAAATATTTTATGTCTTTTAGATTGATTTTTTTTGTGTGAAGCATCCATTTCTGCCTCATTCTAAGACAGTCAAATGATTGGTTGCAGAGATCTGCAGCCAAGTTCACCATCAACATGATTAGCTGAGACCACAGTTTTACCTGTTGACATATTAAGCTGAAGTTCAGGTTTATATCAAGCCCAATCAAACATGCGAGCACCCCCTTGGACCTGAGTATCCTCTCTCCATTATTCATGAGTCCTCAGGTTGGACCCTGGGAACAAGCTGAGCGAGGCCTTGTGTCAATAAGAAACACTGGCCGTCACAATGGGCTCTGCCTCCAACTACACTGTTGACAGACACCAACACAAAGGAGCTGAAAGGGGTCCCCCTCGGTTCTCACACACACTGAAGAATGAATCAGTGTGCTGCCGCTCAGAGCTGTGTTTGTACAGTATATACAGCTTTTGTCCATGGCCACTGTTCTCCCATCAATAGAGACTGAATTGTTGATGAAAACCAGGAAGAAAGGACTTCTCTGTGATTACCAGCGAGAGTTCAGTGCATCAAATGGGCTTTGCGCCTGCTAGATGGCACCTGTGCATATGAAGAGAAACATCGGGTGACAGAACAACAAGTAATCGGCTTACTGGATTGGTAAACTACATTCCATGATATAGCACAGCCCAGCCTCTACATCATTGCTTGCTGTCATTCAATTTAATGAATACTTAATGTCTCTGAACCAGAAATCAATTTTGCAGCCATGTGACAGCCTCTTTAAGACCCCTTCTATGCAGTTTCTCTGGTTTCATATTGTTGGTTAATTTTGTATAATACATCAGGCACAGAATTGCAATGATAAAGATGTACATCCACCTTTCAAATGGGTTGTCTGTGATACCCATTTGTAAATTTACTGGAAATGTTTTAGAAGTTAAAATAATAAACAGATTTTGTTTGTAAGAAATAGCAAAGAAATGTTACCTGTGACTCAAAATCCATTTCAGCTCACACATTTTGCAAAGTGTTCTAAATGTATCTATAGCACTTATTAACAGAACCTCTAAAAACGATTTTATCTGTGTTTCATAGGCTCCATCTACTGGTTAAAGCCAGTATTCACCCATGCAGGAGCGATTTATAATGGAGGAAATTTCTTCACATTTGGCTCAAATGTCCGCTTGGATTCAAGGGTGAACTGATTAGATTTTGGTGGTCAAAGGTCAAAGATGAAGGTCAGTCTGTCCTGTTCCTATGAATTTGACTGGTTGGCAGAGGTATACAACCGAAAAACAGTAATTTAAGTACCTTATAACTTATTTATTTAGCCTTTTTATATAAATGCGAATTCAATTACACAGTAAGGCACCATGCGCCTGACTGCTGGCAGTGTGTATTAATGTTGTTCATTAAAGGAAAAAGAGAAATTTGTCTGAATCTTTCTTTCTGCAGGGGCTACCTGCAAGGTGCACTAAATCCTCTCAGGTCAAATTACTGCAGCACCTTTCACTTCACCAATTAATACTGAAGTCGACACACCTGCGCTGAGATCACTCTTCGCTCAAACACATCGTCGCAGATCCAAAGACACGCCCCCTAATCAGCTTGTTGCCATGACAACATCAGAGCCTGCTCTTTGATTGGTGGCCCTGAATCAAGCAGTGCGGACCAGGCTTTAAATATGAAGTTTTGCTACATATCAGTCTCTCCGCACTTTAACATTGAACCAGTGGATTTTGAGTTGTCTTGTGCTCCTGTAGCGGACTTATTTTCACCTTCACCTTCACCATCATGGTTGAACAGTTTGTTGGAACCTGGACTCTGACTACCAGTGAGAACATGGATGAGTACATGAAGGCACTTGGTGAGTTATTGATAAATTAAAGATATGTTTTGAAAGTGTAGTATATTGTGTGGAAGTTCTTGCAAGCCTGTACAGTGGGTTTTAACCAAGGAAGTAGATCATTTCATTAATGGCATCAAGTGTAATACTACAATCAAACCCATCAAGTATCCTAATGATACCTGTTGTGCCCAAGGTGTGGGTTTGGCCACCCGGCAGATGGGTAACATTGTGAAGCCCAAGTTGGTGATCAGTGTGGATGATGGGGTTATCTCACTGAGATCTGAGAGCATGTTCAAGACAACAGAAATCAAGTTCAAGCTGAATGATGAATTTGATGAGACCACTGCTGATGGCAGACAAACCAAGGTAGGCCGTCCTTTGTCAAAGACTTGACCCTAATTTTCATAGACTTGGTCATTAACCCAACATGATTTTCAGACAATCGTCACTTTTGAGAATGGCAAACTGGTGCAGAAACAGAGCTGGGATGGCAAGACAACGATGCTGGAACGAGAGATTCAAGAGGGAAAACTAATAGCTGTGAGTATGGCCTGAAACAGGCGAATGTGCCAGGCTACTTTTGTTTGTGGATGCTGCTTTTAATTGTCCTTAGCGACAAGGTTTCTAACACTTTGACCATTTCTCAACAGAAATGCATCATGGATGACATTGTTGCAATGAGGACATATGAGAAGGTGTAATCATCTGGTGAAGATCAAGCGGAGCCTGCAGCTGTTCAGACTACAAAATGCACTAACTTGTTGCAAACATGCTAATAAAGTCTGAACTGTTACCTCAGCCTGTAATGTTAATGTAACGGATTGTGGGTTTAAATTGTAATGCTTTGCCTTTCAAATGACTTTTCTTGTTGCTCATAAGGAGCAGTTTCTTAGCCTTTGCTACTGACAAGAACCATTCAAGCAACCAGTTACCTCGGATTTGATCATTACTTTTCTGGGGTCTTTTGTGCAAGTCTCAATGTATCTAGTGAGGTGTTTACTATTGGATTTAACTATGGCCAATATCAAAACCTGTGGTCTTATGGCAAGGAGGTTGCCATAAATGCTGGTTAACATCTTTTAATACTGCCAGTACAAGCAAGTGGACATGGGTGCACCCAGGCCTTTGCTTCAGTTGACTGGAAGTATGCCTCCAGTGTAAAAGCGGTAAGGAATGTAGCTGGAAAGGCCATATCACTGCTTGGCGTCAGCAGTAACCTCATTAGTACTAAGACTCTTCAATCTGGCCTTTAGCACATATACACTACTTTTTAGTTTTGGTCTTGTTGGGTAGCAAGTTGAGGCCTCATCAGTTTCCAGAACAAATGCTCATGACCTGGCTTGTGTTCAGGCAACAGCACTTCAAAAAGCCAATCTACTTTGAGGGTCATCATTGTACAGAACATCCATGTCTAATATGCATTTATGATTTTATAGCCTCTAAATCCATTAACTGCTTAATGGATAGGTCTTGCAAAGCTTGTAAATGGTAATGTGCATGTGGGGTTTTTTTTTTTTTTTTTTTTTTTGGTCCTCTAGGAATTAAGTGTGGTGTGTGTGTGGTTTCAGGCTTTAACCTCTAGAGTCCTGAGCTTTGGAAACCCAAGCTGTGCGGTCCTCATATGAGGACGCAGGGACTCTAGAGGTTATGATGCAGACCATGTTTGAAATGGGTGATCCCCTTTTAATCTTGTGCTGGTGAATGGTTAAATGTTCTAGTTTGACTTTGCAGTGTAAGGTCCCAGGAGATGCAAACCTCAAATGATTTTCATACTTCTAAAATTGCAACAGGTTTTTCAAATCAATTGCTTTAATTTAGCATTACTGTATATATTGCATATCTTTTAAAATCTGTTCTGAAGGTGCATGTTCAGTGTTAAAATCTGATCCACAGAAATGGCATGAAAAACAGGAAGGAAGTCTGGGCTGCACCAATTTAAACACCTAGGGTTCCCAGACAAGCCAGGTGGTTTTCTAAGAAACAATGAAAACATCTATGGAGCTTAACTCAAAGTAAAAATTATGGGCATATCAACTATGGTACATTAAAGGCACTGTAAAAAGTCTTGTTGGATCTCTAAATGGTAAATGGACTGTATTTATATAGCACATTTTTTCCACAGTGTGTTGCACTGGCCAAAGCACTTTACAGGAGATGATACACCATCCACGAGATGAGGTGAAAAGTGATTTAGAAATATGAACAATTTAAATGTTTTGTGCCCTTTTAATTTTTCTTTATGAAGCATCAGTTTCTGTCTGATTCTTAAAGTGTCAGATGACTGGCTGCAGAGGTTTAGTGGCATTGTTCATCAACACGTGACCCCAGTTTTACCTGCGGACATATGCTTTCATTCAGGTGTAAGTCCAGTCAGACATGTAAGCACCCCCAAATAAAACTACACTGTTTCCACAACCCATTAGGAGCTTATTTTAGATACATGCATTTTGGCATTAAGCAAACATCATAATGTAACCTGTCAATCTAGTTCTTTAATTGACTAATCATTGCAGTTCTCGAGTAGACAACCCACAAATAAAATAGTAGGCTATATGTTCAGCACTATATAATTTTTGGTGAGTTCCATAAAGGTTTTTAATGCATATTTGATTCTTATAGGTACTGTTGTTGTTAAATGTCATAAGTTATCAAACTACAGTATGTAGTCTATCCTATTACCATGTATGCAGGAGTGGCATACAACTCGCCACTAAATCCTATCAGGTCCAATTACTATAGCACTTTTCATCCCCTCAATTAAGACTGAAGTCAGCACACCTGCACTGGGCTCACTTTTACTCCTATCAAACCCATCATCAGAATCTAATTAAAAGGCACGCCCTCTAATTCATTTGTTTCCATGACAACATTAGCGCCTGCTCTTGATTGGTAGCGCTGACTCAAGTGTGTGCAGACCTGCCTTTAAATATGAAGTTTCCCTGCTAGTCAGTCTCTTTGCACTTCACCATCAGGTTAGGGGGCTTTACCTGTATTGTGTCTGTGTAGCATACGTCTCTTCAACGTCACCATCATGGTTGAGCAGTTTGTTGGAACCTGGACTTTGATTGCCAGTGAGAACTTTGATGACTACATGAAGGCACTTGGTGAGTTATTGGTTAAATGATTGTGAACTGATTTTACACTGACTGTTTTGAAAGTAGTCCATTGCAAGGGTGGGAGCTCTTGCCAGTTTGTGTAGTTTTGGTAAAGACGTTCATCTTCATTAATGACACAAATGTAATATCATATAGCCTAACAAGAACACACCTAGAACCAGCATCCTAATCAAGCTTTGTTGTGCCCAAGGTGTGGGTTTGGCCACCCGGCAGATGGGTAACATTGTAAAGCCCAAGTTGGTGATTAGTATGGATGATGGGGTTATCTCACTGAGATCTGAGAGCATGTTCAAGACAACAGAAATCAAGTTCAAGCTGAATGATGAATTTGATGAGACCACTGCTGATGGCCGACAAACCAAGGTAGGCCATCCTTTGTCAAAGGCTTGACCCTAATTTTCATAGACTTGGTCATTAACTCCACATGATTTTCAGACAATCGTCACTTTTGAGAATGGCAAACTGGTGCAGAAACAGAGCTGGGATGGCAAGACAACGATGCTGGAACGAGAGATTCAAGAGGGAAAACTAATAGCTGTGAGTATGGCCTGAAACAGGCGAATGTGCCAGGCTACTTTTGTTTGTGGATGCTGCTTTTAATTGTCCTTAGCGACAAGGTTTCTAACACTTTGACCATTTCTCAACAGAAATGCATCATGGATGACATTGTTGCAATGAGGACATATGAGAAGGTGTAATCATCTGGTGAAGATCAAGCGGAGCCTGCAGCTGTTCAGACTACAAAATGCACTAACCTGTTGCAAACATGCCAATAAAGTCTGAACTGTGTTACTTGAGTCGGTTTTCACAAATGTAAATATTATGTTTGGACCATTAACTTAAGTATTTGTGCAGTTAAACTAAAGCCACATCAAGAACTATTGAGCTGCAGTGTGGGCACACTGTATAACGTACTTGGTCTGGGGGGTTTTCCTTCTTGAATATGAAGGCTGGTGTCATTTGAGTACTATGGCCAGTCTGCAATATTAGAAACTGCAGCAGGTTTTTTTTTTTACTTTTCATATTTGACTAGGTGCCATGTTTGTCTAGTGAGATCTTTAAGTAGGCCTATAACTAGTTTGATGCCAATGTTCTTGGTTGAATACAGGATTCCTATACACAGCTCTGTTTATGCTGCAGTAGTGTTGCTTCCCCCGAAGTGAAAGTGCAGAGTAAATCTCCACTGGCCTATATGTCAGTTTCCGGCCAGTAACTTGAAACTGCAACCATCAGGTGTTTGCAGCAGTAAAAAAAAAAAAGCTACACTGTTCTTACCACTTACTACCAATTTAAATTTTAGCCAGTGGCCTTATCCCAAAGTAACATGGCTAAAGTTACTACACAATGATCTGACTCAATACTGCCCCTTGCGGTTGACTCTTGTAATCTCAATGAGTGGACGGTGCCACCGTATCCCGAGAAAAGGGAGGTTATATTTGGTCGTTAAATTTAGTTTTGTGCGACTTAGTCTTTAGCATGAGAAGTCCGTTCACCAGACATCAAGAAAGTCTGTATATTCAACGTTGCGGCTTCGTTCATAATGTCCACTGCATAGTTACCTTGTCTTGATCCAGATAAAATGATCCGGAATGACGACATATGTGACGCGACTACCATCGTCAAATATGGCTGACGAAGAAAACACAAACATGGAAGTCGATAAGGAAAATAAACCTTCTCCCCACAAAGTTAAACCAATAGAGGACGAGGTTACACGAAGAAAAGACATCCAGAACAGTGTCGAAGACGAGAAAGACGTTGGGGAAAGCCGCGCCACTACGGAGTACTGCGAGAAGCTTCAGGCATGGATGTGGCAGTACTATTCGGGATATGTGAACTGGCAGAGCTGGTTGGCAGCTCCAGCCATGTCCTACCCTTATTTACAGTCAACCAGCGGGACGTCGATGGCGTTGCTTGATTTCAACTCTCAGAATTGGTATAACAGTCCGTTTGGTCTTCCGCTGTCGCCTTATCCACCTTCCGTCACCTCTGAAAGCAGCGGGGCTGCAGTGCCAGCTCAGCCGCAGCCGCCGCAGGAGAATGGGAATGCACAGAGACCAGGTATCGGAAAAGCTGTGTACTATACGTGGAGACTCCAGGTCGTCAAAGTGCATCTTTCCGTAGGCTACAGCGGTTACTATACTTGTCCAAACACGTATAGACAGCTATGTATCTTACGGTTGTCTCTCTTTGTTTTGGGCTAGACCACTTTACACGGTTAAGGAAACCATATGATTGATAATGGTGTGCTTTCAGCTTTTTATTACTACGTATCCATACTGTTCATACTACTGACATGTTCAGCAGTGTGACATGAGGATGTAGTGTGCACATACTTTAGTCCTTGTGTTGTACTGTACTTGCCAGACCCCCAGCTTTGTTTTACTACTTTCCATCAGGTCGAGAGTACAGCATTCCTTCACCTCTTCAAAGACTACTGGCTGAGATGGTGGATTTCCTCATATTATTTTTCATCAAAGCAACTATAATCATCAGTATTATGCACCTCAGTGGAATCAAGTGAGTTTATTTACTTAGAAGTGGTGATAAACTGGTTTGTTTTTCATCCTTTAAAAAAAAACCCCCAAAAGATTCTCATTTGAATTTGTATCATGGACATATTTTCCTTTTGTTTTTAGGAATGTTTCCAAGTTTGCCATGCATTTCATTGTGGAAGAAATTGATGAAGACACATCCATGGAGGAGCTACAGAAAATGATGCTTGTTGCCCTTGTGTATCGGATATTGGTATGTTTTTATGAGGTGAGCACTCGTACCACATTCTAAAACAGATAAAGTGAGACAGAACAGTGGTCTCAGCTGTTTCTGTGTAAGCTGATGTAAAGCAGCGTCGCAGTAAAGCTCCTATGCCTTTCTCTGTTTAGATTGTCTGCATTTGGGGAGCAGGAGGGGCCACTCCGGGGAAGTTTCTCATTGGACTCAGAGTTGTTACCTGTGACTCCTCCGTTCTGGTTCAGCCTAACAGGGTGCTTGTAGTGCCAGCAACAAATGTCTCTCTGTCTGCGTGAGTAGTTTGTTTTAATGGCTGTCCTTCCAACTTTAGTAGTTTTCATAGCAAATACAACTAATTACAGCTTTACTACATCTCTTATTGTAACCGCCGTCTCTGTGTCCCTCTGCAGATCGACTGTCCGAGCTTTGAACAAGAATTTTTCAATTGCCTTCTTTTTCCCTGCCTTCATCACCCTTCTGTTCTTTCAGCACAATAGGACTGTGTATGATATGGTTGCTGGTACAATTGTTGTCAAGCGCTCCAGAGCTAGATGACAATGAAGAGCCCAGAAGAGAATCCTAAAGTAATGCTGTGCAGACACTGTGTGATGTTTTTTTTATGTCTGCAGAACTTAGACTGCCCTTTCTGAACACGCAGGAGCATAAAGACAGGCAGAGAGTTTGAACATCAGTATGAACTACTTCACTTCCTTGTAACTTGCATATGGTTTGTTTCTGGCACTCACTGTTGTTTCTGCACGTGTGTCAACGTGCTGCTTTCAGAATCTGTTCTTGTGCCAAATTTGTGTTTATTTAAGACAAGCGCACCTTTGCATTACCGCAAGATTTGCCTCTTTTTGAGCAAACGTCCTGATTAAGGGTGAAGATTGTTAATCCTGCATACATAAGATAATACCTTCAGTATCTATTTGTATTAAAAATTTGTCCTAAGAGTTGCATACTCAACGTTTTGAGATGTTGACCTCTCACTGTAAGAGTGGTGCATTGTGGTCAGGTTTTTAGCTGCTGAAGTGTTTTGGCTTAAAGGCACATTTAAATGTATTGAAGGGGAATGTAACCCTGAACATAAGTGTTCTTTCTTTACTCTGACAGCATGTGTGTGACTGAAATGTTTATGCGTTATGCTTTTTATGTGATTAACTGGTTTTTGCATTTAAGATTAAATGAAATCATCCTGCTTTCCTACATGTTTGACATGTCTACTATTTGATCATTCAAGTGTTATGTTTTGTTAACTTAAACTGTGTTAACCCAACATGCCATTATAATTAATATTATAATGCATACACATTAGTTTATGCTGTAACAAGAAATAATTTTCCTTAGTAAGTCATTACTTAATTAGGAAAAAGAATCACATTCCAAGTAAATATATTTTTGAGGTTTCTAGCAGTGTTCTTGTAGAATCTATGCAAAGGTGTGTTGACATTCTGGAAGTTTGTAGTGGCCTAAACCACTGAAGAGACTTTTTTATTTTTATTTTTTAAATTTATCACCTGTTTGTACATTTTCCTTTAAGTGAAGCTCATTGTCCACCAAGTTGTTACCATGTAGGCAGCAGGTTTAAGATTTTGTCCAAATTGATCAACTAATGTGTTTTATAAAACTCTGTGGCTATGAAGTATTTATTGTATTGTGGTCTGAAACATTTGCTGCTCCAGTTCTGAGAGATCATAGATGAGACAGATTGTAACAAGTCATAGGGTGAGTTTCTAAGATAATGTAATGTTTGCTGTGTAATGAATATATCTTAAGTCTGGTTTTAGGAAGTTTTCTGACCCCTACACATTTTGAAGTGTTGTAGATTTCATTTTAAATAGAAAAAATATTTTTGCCCATCAATCTACACTTAAAACGTTTTTGGAGAATTTTTTTTTTTTCAAATTTATTGAAAATCAAAAACTGAAATCTCTTGGGTATTGATACAATTTGCACTTCATATTGTGCTGAGGCACACATCCTGTTTGATTTAATCATCCTACAGATACTGTATGTCTAGAATTTGGAGTTTTGGGTATTGATACAATTTGCACTTCATATTGTGCTGAGGCACACATCCTGTTTGATTTAATCATCCTACAGATACTGTATGTCTAGAATTTGGAGTTTACCTGTGGCAAGTTGAACTGATTAGACATTTGATTTAGCTAATAATTTAGAAAGACACGCAATTGTGTATATAACATTCCATAATTCAAACTGCATGTCAGGACAAAAACCCAGACATGTCCAAGGATCCCTCTGTAGACCTTAAGGTTTAAAACCATTTCAGAGACTTTGTATGTTCCTAGGAGCACAATGGCTTCAGTAACTGTGAAATCGAATTAGTTTGGAATCACCAGGACCCTTGTCCATCAAACGGAGTGACTGTGCAAGAAGGGCCTTGGTTAGGCAACAGACCAAGAACCTGATGGAGTCCAGCAGCCCTTCACAGTAGATGGAAACCACTAGTGAAAAAGGCATATGACAGCCTGCGTGAAGTTTGTCAAACAGCATATAAAAGACAGAGGAAATGGATTTTAGAACTCAAAGCACTATGTTTTTTGAACACCAGACATTTGTGTAGAGACTCGAAGATGACAGTTCACTGATGCGTTCCATCGAGGATCTCTCAGTAAGATTGGGATGAAGTGCTGAAATCTGGGTGTGCAAAGCATGTAGAGAGTTAACCAAGAAGACTCAGAGTTCTAACTACTGCCAAAGGGGCTTCTACAAAGTGCCCAGTTAATGGTCTGAATAAAGGAGAGATTTTTTTTTTGACTAATTTGCAAACATTTCTTGAATCTTTTTTTAAATTATTATTTACATTTATACATTATCTTTGTGGGTTACTGAGTGTAGATAACTATAACACAAAGTGTGCAAATGGTGAAGTTTGAAAATTTTCTGAAGCTAAATTATTCACTGTGTAATGAGAATATATTACAATTCAAATAGTCTATCCTACCAGTTAAATGTCATATTAAATTACCGTTGTTACAGTCATTGTAATACTTAAATGCGGGTGTGTGCTCTGTTGTGAGAAGCTAAAATGGCAGATGACAGTAAGCTACACAGTGAGCAAAGGCTTCTTAGCTACAGGAGTTTGGCTCCACCTAGTGTATATTTGTTGGTCATGTGGAGATTTCCTCTCCTGTGTTGATGCAATAAGAGAAATAAGCCCGCTGCACTGTTACCTGGTTAAAAAATTGTAAGCTAAAATCTCTGTTTGTGTGTAATCATCACAGAAACCTGATCACTTCATTTGTCATGGGACGAGTGAGTCTTTACTAAATTTAGTAACAACCCGACTGAACTTTTTTCCAAGACAGTTCTCCAGTTCTTGGAGATTTCTGGCTTGTCACATAACTTGCAGGGGACTGTGGAAGCTCCAATTGTTGGCATGAGCTGATGCGGTGATTGTGTTAAGCCCACT